AAGATATCTCCGTTGGGGTCTTCTAGTATAAGAATTTGATTTTTTTCCTTTTGAGTCTCCATCATTTCTCCATCCAGGTGAAATGTTTAGTCAAGTGAAAGAGGAACAAAAGAGTGAGTGAAGGAAGAGGATTTCTGATTTTTGATTCCCCCCCCCCAAATTCTAGCCGTGTAGTTTCAATGGCCAGGTCGCGATATTTCATGATTTTTTTCCAGTTCTTTTTCTTCGATTCTGGCATCTCCTGGTACAGCAATATCAATAAACTGTATGCTTCGGCCCTCAAAACTGTGATATCTGGCGTGTTATGTTCCAAATGATAATCTGTCTGTATTCGAAAGTCTCATAAAATCTTCACTGTCTCATTTTTGATAACTTCCACTTTGTGTTCCCATGACTTTTTCGGATACAGGTATGTATTTTTTACATAATGACTAGTGGACTAACTTAGCAACTCGATCATGTCTAGCTTTGTAATCAATGTGCATGATTTTGCTGTACTCACATATTAAGTGTGAAACAGTTTCAACTTTGTCATTGCAAAGTCAGCAGTTTGGTTGTCAGTGGATTCTGTGTATCTTCACTTTCATGGCATTAGTTTGTAGTGTTTGTTCTTGAGCAGCGAGTATTAAACCCTCCGTTTCTTTCTTGATGGTTCCTCTCTTAAGCCATGCCCATGTCAAGTTGTTATCACACTTTCCTTCAATGTTTTTCAAGTGCTATCTATGCAGGGCTTTGGTTTTCGATCCATTTAATCTGTTATCCAACTGTTTTTCCTTATATTCTGCCTTTGTTTCTGTTGTTTTTATAACGTTCTCTGTTTTCATAGCCTGCAGCAATCTTCCTATGCTTTGGTTCACATAATCATTCAAACTTCGTTTTTCTTCTACAGTTTGATGGATTTGCAATAACCCTCTGGCCCCTATTCTTCTTGGCAGGTACAACCTGTCGGTGTCACTTGGTGGATGTAAAGCGTAGTACATATTCAAAAGTTTACGTGTTTTCCGGTCCAGGTTTTCCAGTTCAGCCACAGTACAGTTGATGATTCCAGCTGGGTAGCGTATCATTGGAACTGCCCATGTATTAATGGCTTTAATTATGTTTCCAGCATTCAGTTTTGATTTTAATATTTTGCGGACCCTCCTGATGTATTCCTTTTGTGTTGATTCTGACTTTTCCATTCAAGATGTTATCTGCTTCCAATATGCCTGGGTATTTGTAACCATCATCCTTTGCTAATGCTTTCATGATGCTTCCATTTCCCAGTTCTATTCCTTCTTTTTTTTCCCATTTTTCCTTGCTGCATGGAAAATATAGGACATTTTTCAAGTCCAAAGTTCATTTTGATGTCGCTGCTGAACAGTTGAACTGTATTGAGTATTGATTCAAGTTCAGTGGGGCTTTTTGCATACAGTTTTAAGTCATCCATGTATAGTAGATGGTTTATCTTGCCATGTTGGCTTGAGATTTGGTATCCCAGTTTTGTGTTTCATAGGATTATTGTCAGTGGAATTGATGTGATGTTGAACAGTAGTGGTGAAAGTTAGTCCCCTTGAAAGATTCCTCATCTGATGTTGACTTCACCAATGTTCTCCCCATTTGCTGTTAGAACTGTTTTCCATTTTTGCATATTTGCTTTCAAAAATGTACAAATATTTTTGTTGATTCCAAAGTTTTCCAGACAGGTGTTAATCCAGCTGTGGGGTAATGAGTCAAATGCCTTCTTGTAATCAATCCATGCCATATTTAAATTTGGTTTTCTTCGTTTTGCATTTTTTAGTATCATTTTGTTAATGAGCAGCTAATCTTTTGTTCCTCTTGATTTTTTATAATTTCCTTTTTGTTCTACTGGATACAAACTGTTTCCATCAGATGATTGAATACTGAATTTGCCAGTATTCTTGTAAAAAGCTTGAATGTTGTTGGTAGACAAGTAATTGGGCGATAGTTGCTTGGCTTTGTGCCCCTTTCTGGATCTTTCATTATCAAGTATGTTCAACCAGCTGTTAACCATTCTTCACTTGTTGCATTTTGAAGCATTTGATCAAATTGAGTGGCCATGCAATGATGGAAGCTGGTCAGGCGTTTTAGCCAGTATCCATGCAGTTCATCCAGGCCAGCTGCACTCTAGTTCTGGATCTTCTTTGCTTGTTTTGCAAACATGTCAGTTGTTATTACAATATTTTCCATTTTGTTTCATGTTGTTTATTGCTGAATATCTTTGATGCCGGAGGCAGTTTTATTGTGTTCCACTAGGTTTTCCCACAGTTCTTTCCAAAAGTTCAAAGTTTTTTCTTTACATGGGTGAACATTAATTTGGACTCGATTTTCATTAAGGGACTGGTAGAAGAGGTGTTGGTTTCTTCTCAACTGGACATGTTCACGATATTGTTTAATTCATCCTCCGTATCTTTCAATTTTCTTTGCTGTTGCTATTACATGTTGTTTTAGTTCTTCCATGATTTCCATTATTGTTTTTTCCTCCAGGTTGTATTTATTGTGTAAACTATTTTTCAGCTTTTTGTTATTTAGTTTTCCTTCAAGTATTTCAGATTGCTGACATCTCCTCGTAGTTTTTTTATTTTATTTTCAAGTCAAATTTTCCACTATGGTATTCCAGTGGGTTTCTTTTTTGGCATTTTATAACCCAGTTCTGCAGTTATAATGGTGGCTGTGCTATATATTATAATTGATTGGTTTCATGTGCTGGATGGGATGGACGTTAAAATGCTGTTCAAGGCAGTTAGTAGATCTTTCACTCGTTTGCTATGCACTTCGCGAATGGTAAGTAGTCTTTTTCTTTCTATGTTTTCTTTGATGTAGTTTTCAATCTTTTCTTTCAGCATTTTTGCTAGATCACTTAGCTCTACACTTTCGAGTTGTTGCACAGAAGGATTTTCATCCTGTATGTTGGTTTCTTCCACTGGTTGGTCAGTTTGTTCAGGTGTTGGAACAGTTTCTTCAGCCTATTCATCATTACTTATTGCTTTCCTTTTAGCCAATATTTCTAGATGTTGCATTTCCACATCTGTGAAAACTTTATTACAGATGATGAAGCATCTTTTATCCATTAATCTTTGTTCAGTTACATCACTTTCCAGGTGTTTTTCCTTCTACAGTTGCATCATTCTTTTTTGAGATCCCCTGGCTGTTGGTTCTGCCTGGTAATAATATTTGATGATTTCTTGATTTTCTTTGGTTGTCCAAGTTTTGCGCTTTTGTTTTAGTTGCTTTGCAGTTACATGCCCTGGTTCTCTAGCAGTAACCACTGAGCCCTGTAGCCCCTTTTTCAACAGATGTCCAGGAGCCGTAGCATCTGACGCGGTCCTTATTGACTCAGGCAATGACTGATCTGGTGTGGAATTTTGTTGATTCCTTCTCATCATTAGTGATGGTAGGTGCCTAGGTTAGTTCATGGTGGCTAAACCATTACTGATCCAAAAATGATAATCCCATAACCGTAGTAAGTGCACCGAATAGCTGTCCAGGCCCAGCCACGGCAGCCTAACTGCTTGCTTAGTGGCAGAAAGGCAGGATAAGGAATGGGGGGTGGGGGGAGAAAGAGGCTTTACTGCCTTTTGGATGGCATAATCAAGAATGGGTGGGAGGAAAGAGGCCTACCTGCCTGTTGGGTGGCAGAATCATTACTATTACTATTATTATTATTATTATTATTTACTTTATTCATTAAACATGAAACTCAGTCAACTGAACATTCAAAAATGCATCACAAATACCATTGACTGGTGCTAATGGTTGATACAGGTTGCTGCCAGCATCCTAGGTATCAACCAAGTACCTTCTTAAGATGTATGATGTTCCAAGTAGCACAGTTTTTTGCAGTTCCGCTGGTATTATTGCAGGAAGCTGCAATTTGTTGATGTATCTTATAAAATTCTTGGACATGGTACCAAGTGCCCCGATGACAATGGATATCACTGTTACATGTTTCATCCATAACCGTGTAGTTTCGAAGGCAAGGTCGCGATATTTCCTGATTTTTTCCAATTCTTTTTCTTCGACTCTGGCATCTCCTGGTACCACGATGTCAATAAATTGTACGTTTCGGATTTCGACAACTGTGATATCTGGTGTGTTGTGTTCCAATGACGATCTGTCTGTATTCGAAAGTCCCACAAGATTTTCACCTTCTCATTTTCTATAACTTTTTCTATTATTATTATTATTATTATTATTATTATTATTATTATTATTATTATTATACATTAAATCAGCATCAGATCTTAGTGACCCTTGTGGTGATTAGTTCTCAACTTGGCACTTCAAGTCTTCCAACATTGCATCCATCACCACTATACTCATGCTCATCCATCTTACTGCTGGTTATGCTCTTTTTCTCTTTCCTTTCACCTTACTCAGCATTATGAAATTCTCAAAGAGCCAGGATCTTCTTATAAAGTGATCTGATTATAATAGTTTGAGCCTGGTCATTTTGTGCCTCAAATGAGAAATCTGGATTGATTTATTTTATGGTCTATTTGTTTGGATGTGTGGCTATGCATGTTATTCTCAGGAATCCTCTTTTAACATCAATGTTCAAAAGCATCATTACTGTTTCTACCCTGCCTCTTTAAACTCCAATTTTTAGTTCCATAGAGTTACAGGGAAAGCCATTATCTACATGATACTCATCTTTGTAAATATAAATACTATATATATTGCAAGATATACTGCATCTAAATATATAAAATGTTGCCTTTTACAAATTTTCCAATTCTGCATAAAGTAGTTTGGTTAGCTTTTTAAATTATTATTTGCTACACTTTTTAAGAATGCTCTTTTATATCTCTTCCTACAAGTTATATCTATTCCTAAAAGTTAGGAATACATATATCCATAAAGCTATTTGTAAAAATCTCAATAAATGTCCAGGGTAGGCAAAAAGATTAACATTAAAAAATTGATGTTATAAGAGGTAGAGGATGGCTGAATTTTTCTTTGGAAGGGTAGCTAACACACACTGGGTTTTCCTATCTTCACAGCCCCAACAGAACCTTTGCTGTGCAAATTTGCTGATGGAGGACAAAAGAAACGACAGAATCAAAGCAAATATACTCAGAATGGGAGACCCTGGCCAAGAGAAGGAGAGGTAAGTCAAATTAGTTATAATTATTTTTGAGGAAATTTGACAAACTTGAAGAAAATGAGTTTTCAACATTATTAAGTCAAAATCAGAAAAATGCAGCAAAATTCAAACGAGTTTAATTCTATTTGCCTTTGATTCAGACTAGAAGCATGCACTATTTATCATAAGACTTGAGATTGCAACCCCATACTCAATGAATTCATAAAAATCAATATTTTGCAGTGCTGATAAAATGATAAAATGAGATATTTTATACATCTTAAGAGATGCAGTGGCTCAGTGGCTAAGACACTGCGCTTGTCGATCTAAAGGTCGGCAGTTCAGCGGTTCGAATCCCTAGTGCCGCATAACGGGGTGAGCTCCCATTACTTGCTTCTGCCAACCTAGCAGTTCAAAAGTACATAAAAAATGCAAGTAGAAAAATAGGGACCACCTTTGGTGGGAAGGTAACAGCGTTCTGTGTGCCTTTGGCGTTTAGTCATGCCAGCCACATGACCATGGAGACATCTTCGGACAGCGCTGGCTCTTTGGCTTTGAAACGGAGATGAGCACCACCCCATAGAGTTGGGAATGTTGGGAACATACATGCGAGGGGAATCTTTACCTTTACCTTTATATACATCATTATTGTTAATTGTAGTTTTGATTGTGTTCAGATTGGAACTAATTTAACTTTCATTTTAATGGGAACTAATATATGGTAGTGTGAATCCATCAGCCCAGTTCTTGCTATTAAATAATATCCAGATATGACAGAAAAACATAAATACCATAATTCGACCTTGACAGAGAAATTAAGCTGTATTGGATTGACTTGCCTTATTGTTATAGAAGAACTAAGTCTGTCAGGCTTTGTTGCTTTCTGCAAAAGCATATGTAGCCAGTTTCCTTTACCTGATTTGGTTATCATGTGAAAGTATATCAGAAGAAGGACCTTGGTCTAATTATGAGTAATTAGTTACATCATGGGAGAGCATTATAATCTAAGGTGAAATTTAGGTTAGATAAGAATGGTGCAGTTCATATCCTACCAGGAAACTAGGCTGTTAGATAATGTTACTCATATTATCTACCAGCTCTGAACAAGGACTTTTTAAAGTGTAGGGTCTTTTTAAAGAGCTTCAAAATGGAGTTCTTCTTTCTGACTTATCATTGAAAAAGAATGAAATGTTTTATTTTAAAATAGTTTGAATCTAAGATGTATCCAAAGAGTGGTACAAAATAACACTTGCAATTAAAGAAAAGGAAGATTCTGATTATTATTTATTTATTTATTTATTATATTTCTATATCGCCTTTCTCCCGTAGGACTCAAGGCGGTGTACAGTCAAGAAAAATATAGACACACAAATATCATAAAATTGCTAATTAAAATTATTACTTAGTTTGGTCAGAATTAGATAACATTTAAAAAATCATTCACATGTTCGTATGTTTAGCCCCGCCTGTTGGAACATCAGGGTCTTGAGGGCACGGCGGAAAGCACGGAGATCAGGGATATTCCATATCTCTGGGGGCAGTTCATTCCAAAGGGTTGGAGCCCCCACAGAGAAGGCCCTCCCCTGGGAGTCGCCAGTCGACATAATTTGACTGACGGTACCCTGAGTAGTCCCTCCCTGTGAGAACGAACTGGTCGGTGGGAGGCTATTGGTGGCAAAAGACGGTCTCATAGGTACCCAGGTCCTAAGCCATGGAGCGCTTTAAAGGTGATAACTAACACCTTGAATCGCACCTGGAAGACCACCGGGAGCCAGTGCAGCTCACGTAGGAGAGGTGTTACATGGGCATAACGAGCTGCACCCATAATCACCCACGCGGCTACGTTCTGGACCAGTTGGAGCCTCCGGGTGCTTTTCAAGGGGAGCCCCATGTAGAGAGCATTACAGTAGTCCATACGGGAGGTAACTAGGGCATGAGTGACTGTGCGCAAGGCGTCCCGATCCAGAAAGGGACGCAACTGGCGGATCAGGCGAATCTGATAAAAGGCACCCCTGGCCACGGCCGTCAAATGATCTTCTAAAGATAACCATGAATCCAGGAGGACACCCAAGTTGTGGGCCCTCTCTGTGGGGAGCAAGATCTCATCCCCTATTGTCAGTGATGGTACTAGCTGACTATACCGGGACGCTGGAAGCCACAGCCACTCGGTCTTGGAGGGGTTGAGTCTGAGCTTGTTTCTCCCCATCCAGATCCGCACGGCCTCCAGGCAACGGGACATCACAGCAAGGGCATCATTGGGGTGGTCTGGGGTGGAGATGTATAGCTGATTATTATATAGATTATTATAGTATATGGGACTTATTCTATCAATGGTTAGAGAAGAAATATGAAAATTAGAAAGAAAAGCAGAGAAGTGAAATATGGAAAATGTTTTAACAAAGTTAAATAAGCTAAGAGGATTGTTGTAATAGTAGATATGTTAGGTATTTGTATTAGTTAAGAATAGACAAAATATTAAATATGGCTATAAATCTTAATTGTTATTGCTCAAAATATTTATACCCAGATGACACACTGTTTAATGAAAGATGAAATGTTTGTATTAAAATAAAATAAAAAAATTATATAGTATTAGTCGAGAAGCTGAAGGAGTGGTTTGACAGAGTAATGTAACAACACCCATTTTATATCATATGTTTCTACTTTAGCAGTGACTCATCACATGAAAAACAAAAAGTTGTAAAGTCACATCAATACTGAGTACAAGATAGAATAGATTTTTTTTAAGGAACTAATTTTTGTCTACGTTTCTTAGCCAGTTTTAACCCCAGCTGGTTTACAAATATAATCTATTCATTTCTGCACATTCTAATATTCTCTTAATAACATTCTCATCTGTAGAGATCACTTTTCCAATTTTGTGCAAATACAATTCTAGCTGTAGTTATTACATGAATAATCAGATCCCCCCCCCTTTACTATAAGTTTCTGGTAAAATTCCCAACAAGAATAATTCAGGTCTGAAATCAAGATGTTGTTGTATCATTTTCTCCAACCACATAAGAATTTTTGACCAGTGTTTCTTAGCTTCTAGGCATGTCCACCACATATGATAGTACGACCCCGGTAGCTGGTGACATTTTCAACATTTTGCTGATTTATCTTTTAACATTTTTGCCAATTTTTCTGGTGGAAGATGCCATCTGTAAAACATCTTATACAAATTCTGCTTGTATGCAGTTGATATTGTTAATTTATAGTTTCTAACCCATAGTTGCTGCCATTTATCTATCTCTATTGAATAGCCAAAGTTTTTTGCCCATGTTATCATTGTTTCCTTTACTTGATAATAACCCTTGTTATTCCAATTCTTGTTTAGTTTTGAGCTCCCCCTTTTCAGACAAAATATATTTATATCTAACAATATTTCCCATATTTATAATATTTGGATAGATAAGTGCTTCCATCGTCAAAAGACAAACTGGTATCTTCAAATAATGTTGTTCTCTAATTTTCTCCCATACTAATAATAAGGTATTTCTTATATAGTGTCTTTGAAAGTAAGCGTGTATATTACTTTTCCCATACCATAAGAAGGCATGCCAATCCAATTGTAAGTCATGTCCCTCCAGCGTTAATAACCTTGTATTTCTCAGTACAATCTATTCCTTCATCCATGCTAACACTGCTGCTTGATAATATAATATAATTCCCAATTTGGTACGCCAAACCTTCCTCTAGTTCTTGTATCTTGTAGCATTTTTAATTAATTCTTGCTTTCTTCCCCTGCCAACTATTATTTTATTAAGATCTTCAAAATATTTTTTTCTCTAATTTTATTGGAATTGTTTGAAACAAAAACAATAACCTTGGTAATATGTTCATCTTGATTGTAGCTATTCTTCCTACTTGCAATAATAGCAAGTTTTTCCATTTTTACAAATCTATCTTAATTTGTTTTATCAGCTTATAATAATTATATTATCTTCCTTAATTGTTACACATCTTGTTGTTAATTGAATCCCTAAATATTTTACTTTCTTTGTAATCTGAATATCTAATCAATTCATTAACTCTGTTTTCTGTTTCTCTGTAATGTTTTTCACTAATATCTTAGTTTTTCCCCTATCTATTTTCAATCCTGCCACCTCACCATACTCTTCTATTCTTTTTAACAATTTTGGCCCTGATTCTTGGGGATCCTCTAATATAAACACCAAATCATCTGCAAAAGCCTGCAATTTGTATTCTTCCTTTTTTATTTCCATACCCTTTATCTCCTTAGCCTGTCTTACATTTCTATTTAGTACTTCCAAGGTCAGTACGAATAATAATGGAGACATAGGACATCCCTGTCTTGTGCCTTTCATAATGTTTAGCTTTTCCATCATATCTCCATTTACCATCACCTTTGCAGTTTGTTTGTTATATATTGTTTTGATTACATTGATAAATCTCTCCCCAACATTCATAACTTTTAATTACGTCAGCATAAACTGCCAGTTCACATTATCAAAAGCCTGTGCATCGAGGAAAAATCAATGCCATTTGCTTCTCTGGATGTGCTTCATAGTATTCGAATGTGTTCAAAATTATTCTCGTACTGTCTTTAATTTGTCTCCTAGGCAAAAAACCATTTTGGTCTGTATGTATAAATTGGTTTTAAAATCTCTTTAATCTTTCTGCCATTATTGAAGTAAATATCTTGTAATCGTCGTTCAGCAAGGATATCGGCCTGTAGTTCTTTATCTGCTGCAAGTCTGAGTCTTCTTTCAGTATGAGTAATATATGCTTCCATCCAAGAATTCGGTATCTTCACCTCTAACAATAATTCATTGAATATTTCCAACACTGAATTACTTATAACATTTTGTAGTGTTTGATACAACAAGTATCAAACTACAACATTTTGTAGTGTTTGATACAAGTCTGCTGGTAGCCCGTCTGGGCCTGGTGCTTTGCCTTTTATTGTCTTTTAATTGCTTCTGTTAGTTCCATCATTGTTAATGTTTCCTCCAGTGCTGTTTTAAATGTTTCTGGTACTATGGTTAATTTGGCTTTTT